AGTGTTTATCCAGTTACTTTTTGAAGGTTGTGAGGTTACCTACCTCAACTACCCTCCCTCTTTAAGCTAAAATGTTTCAATGGAGGTTTCTGTGAGTTTCCTTACTGACCTGGTGAAATCCCAGATAATCCTGAATCGTATGGGAAACATAGAAAATAAGTCCATCTGCTGTGACGACCAGAACAAATCCATTCAGAGCCTAGAAGGAAAAGCAATTTGGAAATTAGTGTTAATCATCAATGCAAACTGAGAATGAAAATGCAGGTAACACAACATAGGGTGCATACTAATCAATGATTTGAACAACACAAATGAAAACACTGAGAGTATAGCAGATTCAGCAACAGTGTTGTGTCAATATAAGATATTTCCTGAACATTGTCTAAATCTAACACTGATGGAGTGTTTACCAATGGGTCAGATGTACACTGGGTAGCTGAGTCACTTAGTCTAAAAGACAATATTTGCAAGCTAGCAGTTTAATGTAAATCTTTGATTAAATCACATTATTTTTCAGTGCTGGTTATTAGAGATTACTAATACAGTATAATATCACACAAGTGGATTGCAAAGTCAAATTGGAAGCCGGTTGAGGTGGGGGAGGAGAGGACACAACCAATGCGCAAGAGACTGTCACTAAGGACCACTGATAACAACCTGTATGATAGAGTGCATGAGGATTGTTTTATCACTTGAAGCAATGCAAGAACGGAGCAAAAACTGAGTTATCGACTGAACCAAAATCCTTACTTGACGCCAGCCCGAGTTTGAGTCTTGATGTTTGTAACTTTGGAGCCAAGTGCAATTAACCAGTGCCTGAAGCTACCTTCACAGAGAGGGAATGATTGCTGCTCCCCTGTACAAAGGGGTGGCACAGTGGTTAGCACTGCTGCTTCACAGTGCCAGGGACCCAGGTTCAATTCCACCCTTGGGTGACTGCCTGTGTGGAGTTTGCACGCTCTCCGTGCCTGTGTGAGCTTCCAGCCACAATTCAAAGATGTGCAGGTTAGGGGAACTGGCCTTGCTAAATTGCCCATTGTGTCCAGAGATGTGTAGGCTATGTGGATTCACCATGGGAAATGCAGGGTTTGATAGGATGGGTCTGGGTGGATTGGTCTTCAGTGGGTCATTGTGTACTCAATGGGCTGGATGGCCTGCTTCCACACTGTAGGCATTCTATGAATTAATTTGGGCACCTATATATATGACATTACCTACAGTTTTGATCAATAGCCAGGTGATGCATTGAGAATTATTTTTAAATGAGAATTTTTGTTTGCTGGGTTCTAAACATAAAGACCACCAATTATATTAACCACATTTCAGAGATGAACATGTGGGCTACTTAGGTTCCACCTTCCAATTTAACAATTAAATTTAAACCACGGCTAGTAAATTCAACACAGGACCAGAATATGCGTCTTCGTACAAGATTCTTAAAAGGCTGAAGAGGTTAGATGCTGAGAGGATGTTTCCCCTTGATGGAAAGTCACAAATTAGGCTCACACTCTTGGGATAAATGAGTGGACATTTAGGGTTAAGGTGAATGTTGTATGAGAATCTGAAGGGTTAATCTTTGGAAAAGTGTGTCATCCTGCTGTGAGAATGTCAGATATCACATTGAAAATGGATCTTCCATGGACTCCCAGAAAAACAGACGTGGTTCAGTGATGTGTACGTAGTTTGCAATATTGCAATAACTACTAGCTGTTAACTTCACTTGGTATTTCTACTAGCTGCACACAAGAGGTCGAATGCCTCCAACCTGAGCCTATACTCAGAGCGTTGTGAATGTTTTGAGTTCGCTCTCCCATAGGACTTTGAAAGCTCTTCTGCAGAGTGTCTTCAAGAATGGAATTTATAAATTTTTGAACAGTAAAGAAATCAAGGAACACAAAGTTACTGCCTCAAATGCATGCAAATATAATTTTGTACAAATAACAGATGCCTTTGGTTTGTTTGGATAGAGTCAAACTCCAATGTTTATTTCCTTGATATGCTACTGTACAGAACCGACCTGCGCACGTGACTAGGTATACATTTTATGAATAAAATGTACGCTTGAAATAAAGAAAAGGCCAGGTGATATTTTGGAGAGACCATATTTACAAGCATTTGAGGCACCAGGAGGATCCAATAACTCAACAGAACTTCAGCAGGAAGACCTCAAACAGTGGTCTTCCCCTACTGCACCATGGCAGCAGCTGCTCCAAGCTTTAGTACATCCCTCAACATGTATAGCTTTGTTCAAGTAAGGGATGTCTTTGGTTGGTTTAGACAGAGTCAAAACTCCAATGTTTGTTGTTTCCTTGTTATGTTAATGTACAGAACCAAACTGCATTGGTGACTATGTATATATAAAGAATTTTTTAAATGAATATTTTTGAAACAGAAAAAGGTGATATTTTGGAGAGACTCAAAAAAAAACTGCAGTCATTTCTCCTCTTTCCTTCTCAACAGTCCACGAGTCATAATGAGCTCCTGAGCTACTGAGTACTGACTCCGAAGGATCAACTCAGTGAAAGGCAATCATGGAGGGACCATTGTGAAGCCCAATGAATAAACACCAAATAATATCTTAACTCGGTGGTTTTCAAACCAAAGCAGGAAATGTTGGAAATACTCAACAGGACAGGCATTAGGTGAGGAGAGAGAAAAAGAGTTAACATGTTAAGTCTATGATCTTTCTTCAAAGAACAGGCATACTCAGATATTTTTAGTTGAAAGTCCCATTTGCAAATGCATTTGTATTCACGGACATTCCATCTAAATTATAATGATCAACAACAATAGTTTGGTTCTGAAGAAGGGTCACTGGACCTGACACGTTAACTTTGAATTCTCTCCACAGATGCTACCAGACTTGCTGAGTTTTTCCAGCAATCTCCGTTTTTATTTCTGATTCCACAATTCTTTTGTTTTTTTTATTGTTTAAATCATAATGGTATTCAATGTTCAGTGAGAACCCAGAAAAGCTTGTTATTTTTTACATCCTTGATCTGAGTTTAAAATGCTTCCAAAATGATTCCTCCCTAGAACCCCAAGGCCTCCTACCCTCCCTCGACCTCTTCATCTCCAACTGCCGTCGAGACATCAATCGCCTCAACCTCTCCACCCCTCTCACCCACTCCAACCTCTCCCCCGCAGAACGTGCAGCCCTCCGCTCCCTCCGCTCCAATCCCAACCTCACCATAAAACCCGCGGACAAGGGAGGTGCAGTTGTAGTATGGCGCACTGACCTCTACATCGCCGAGGCCGGACGCCAACTCTCCGACACCTCCTCCTACCGCCCCCTTGATCATGACCCCACCCCTGAGCACCAAACCATCATCTCGCAAACCATCCACAACCTCATCACCTCAGGTGACCTCCCACCCACGGCCTCCAACCTCATCGTTCCCCAACCTCGCACTGCCCGCTTCTATCTCCTTCCCAAAATCCACAAACCTGAATGCCCTGGTCGACCCATTGTCTCCGCCTGCTCCTGCCCCACCGAACTGATCTCCAACTATCTCGACTCCATTTTCTCCCCCTTGGTCCAGGAACTCCCTACCTATGTCCGTGACACCACCCACGCCCTCCACCTCCTCCAGAACTTCCAATTCCCCGGTCCCCAACACCTCATCTTTACCATGGACGTCCAGTCCCTCTACACCTGCATTCCCCATGCAGATGGCCTTAAGGCCCTCCGCTTCTTCCTGTCCCGCAGGCCCGACCAGTCCCCCTCCACTGACACCCTCATCCGCTTAGCCGAACTCGTCCTCACACTCAACAACTTCTCTTTCAATTCCTCCCACTTCCTACAGACAAAGGGGGTAGCCATGGGTACCCGCATGGGCCCAAGCTACGCCTGCCTCTTTGTAGGTTACGTGGAACAATCCCTCTTCCGTACCTACACCGGCCCTAAACCCCACCTCTTCCTCCGTTACATTGATGACTGTATCGGCGCCGCCTCGTGCTCCCACGAGGAGCTCGAACAGTTCATACACTTCACTAACACCTTCCACCCCAACCTTAAGTTTACCTGGACCATCTCTAACACCTCTCTCCCCTTCCTGGACCTCTCTGTCTCCATATCGGGCAACCACCTCGAAACCGATATTCATTTCAAGCCCACCGACTCCCACAGCTACCTAGAATACTCCTCCTCCCACCCACCTTCCTGCAAAAATGCTATCCCCTATTCCCAATTCCTTCGCCTCCGCCGCATCTGCTCCCAGGATGAGGCATTCCACTCCCGTACATCTCAGTTGTCCTCGTTTTTCAAGGACCGTAACTTCCCCTCCTCGGTGGTCGAGAACGCCCTCAACCGTGTCTCCCACATCTCCCGCACCTCATCCCTCACACCCCGTCCACGCAATAAAAACCAAAAAAGAATCCCCCTCGTCCTCACGTACCACCCCACCAACCTCCGGATCCAACGCATCATCCTCCGACACTTCCGCCATCTGCAATCCGACCCCACCACCAAAGACATCTTTCCCTCCCCACCTTTATCTGCTTTCCGGAGGGACAACTCTCTCCGTGACTCCCTTGTCCGCTCCACACTCCCCTCCAGCTCCACCACACCCGGCACTTTTCCCTGCAACCGCAGGAAGTGCTACACCTGCCCCCATACCTCCTCCCTCACCCCCATCCCAGGCCCCAAGAAGACTTTCCACATCAAGCAGATGTTCACCTGCACATCTGCCAATGTGGTATACTGCATCCGCTGTACCCGGTGTGGCTTCCTCTACATCGGGGAAACCAAGCGGAGACTCGGGGACCGCTTTGCAGAACACCTACGCTCGGTTCGCAACAAACAACTGCACCTCCCAGTCGCGAACCATTTCAACTCCCCCTCCCATTCCTCAGACGACATGTCCATCCTGGGCCTCCTGCAGTGCCACAACGATGCCACCCGAAGGTTGCAGGAACAGCAACTCATATTCCGCTTGGGAACCCTGCAGCCCAATGGTATCAATGTGGATTTCACAAGTTTCAAAATCTCCCCTCCCCCTACCGCATCCCAAAACCAGTCCAGCTCGTCCCTGCCTCCCTAACCTGTTCTTCCTCCCACCTATCCCCTCCTCCCACCTCAAGCCGCACCTCCATCTCCTACCGACCAACCTCATCCCGCCCCCTTGACCTGTCCGTCCTCCCTGGACTGACCTATCCCCTTCCTAACTCCCTACCTACACTCACCTTTCCTGGCCCCAT